TGAAACTTTTGAATACCAATATGTTCGCATACCAAATAGCTTTGACTTAAGATTACTGGTAATTTTAAACTGACATAATCATAATAATCACAAACTCATTCATGTAAACTAAGTAAAAGTTTCAAAGTCAATAGATCATGCATATGACTGAGGGGTGAGGACCAAATATCCTCTATGGAAATGAGACGTACTAATGCTTCTACACCTACATGCCAATTATCATTGACCTACCACTATTGGTTTCCCTAATACTAACCTAATCGAAAACTAATAAATGAAATTTCAAAGTAACAAAATTTTCAAGTAAAAAGAGCATTATTGAGGGGGCGGGGCCAAATAATCTCAATGGAAATTAGAAATGAAAAAGTTTATACAACTGCACACCAAATATCATTGACCTACCACTAGTGGTTCCCCCTAAACTGACCTAACCACAAACATATACATGTAAACTATGCAAAGTTTCAAAGTCAATAGACCATGACTAAGGGGGTGGGGTCAAATATTCTCTATGTTAATGAGATGTGCCTATGCTAACACAACTACTTACAAAATGTCATTGACCTACCAGAAACCAGACCTTATCACAAAATCACAAACTAATACATTATTGATTCCGCCAAAACAGCATGCCTATATATATATATATATATGTCTCACTTTTTGACTCTGTCAAGGCAAGACAAAAATTGCAACAAATTAAATACAAATATTTTGTCCATCTTTTTTTAATATTCTTCATTTCTTAGATATATCAATGCTGCGTTCACACATAATTCGAATTCGATTCACATTATTAACTGATTTGAATTAGTTTAATACGCATTCGAAACGTTTAATGTCCAAAAGTAAATTCTACTTGGAATTGCAATACACGTCAAAATCGCTTTACTGTGAATGCAGGGGTTAAAATAAACATTTGGTACTGGACAGTCCAGGACCTTTGACACTCCAAACTGAAAGGTCCACAACCTAAATTCCAGGTCCTGCTTTTACTTGAAATAGTTCATAACTCAGTAAGATACTTTAATGTGCTTTTGGTGTTAAGTTAGCTTGTTTCATTGTCAGTGTCACTGTCGTTTAACATGTTTAATAATAAATGTAATTGTCTTGTATATTAATTTATGAATTCAAATAATCTTTTTTTTTGTATTAGGAAGGCTGAGGGAGGCTGAGGGTATCACTGTGGGTGGGTGTGTTGTCTCAACAATTGATTATTTATTACTAATTATACCATTATATTAAACAGTTCAAATTCAAAACTGTTTAAGTGTATCATATCTAGTTGCACTATATATTATATTAGCTAGTTCCTCTGTGAAAATAAAGTAAGAAACTTCCAGATTTTTATAGGCCCTTCAAAATTGAGAAGAAATTACCTCATGGAATTGTAGTAATTTGTTTAAACAATAAAAACATCTACATGTAATATCAATATTTATTAATGATAAGGAAAATACTGTCACATTTTATTGGTTTTTGACATGAAAATTCGTGAACTGAAAGTAATTTTGAGTTTCTGTATAAAATTTTTCTTTTCAATATATCTTTGGTTTTCAATTCTAGAGTTTATATTTCATCATGATAGATGTATTTTGTCTCATGTCTGGAATTATTATATTTTTATTGTATTTGATCGGCAAACCCGGAATTACCCTTATCCGCCCCCGGAATTAGATCCGGTATTATAATTGTCTTCATTTCCGGTTTATGGCATCCATTGTTTTTCAATGTTTTTTTTGTCAGTCAGATACGATTTACTCGGATTTACACATAACATGTTGGCGATTTTCGGTATAAAGCTAGCGGTTGAACAAAATGATTATTATCAGAAATCACCAAATTTAAAACGTCCTTGATTTACGTTTTGTCGACGAAGTTAAAATTACCGCCAACTGAGACTTCAACTCCGTGTCATATTAGTCACAGCCGTTATACAATATTCCTGCGCTTTGTGCCATTTGGCAACTGTAAACGACTTGTAATTATAGATTTTCGGCGATGAAATAATTTATGCAATTGTTCTTTGACATCTTGGCCAAAAGCACAGGGGATAATAAACTACATAAGGATTTCTATTGAGCACTACTTCCTATGTGCAACTTCAAAACTTTTGGGTGGTTCGACGATCATTTAAGGTTTTTCTGGTCATATTTTTTGTATTCCAGAATTAAAAGTATGAAAAAAGTGTTCAATTAGTTATAAATAACACAATAGCCAGCCAGATAATATCAATGGCACATATTTCAGCATTTATTGGGTAGAACACAAATCTAGGGTGCTCGCATAAAGCAGCTTAACTGCTTAAAAACCAACAAGAAACTCTAGTTGGACAGGACATCATATACTTACCTATTACAGCCAGCCACCAAAGATTGAAGGAAATGGTCCTTCGTAAACACCGTCAAGGATTGGAACAAACTGCCTCCAGATATAGCCACAGCAAAGTCTAATGAGATATTCAAGTCTCAAATTACCAAAACCTCTTTAATCAACTCAACAATTTGTTTTTAACCAGTTTTTAATCATGCGCAACTTGCCAGAATATTCATCATGTTGAATGTGGGCAGTACTTGGAAGAAGAAAAGACTTTTGTATACACCCAAGTCTATGAAGCAATTGCATACTAAGTTTCAACCTAAGTTCTATGGTACAAAAGATAAGCACATGACACAAATTGGACAAGGGTTTATTCTTATAGGGGTCAAATGTCGAAGTCAAGGTCAAAGTGACGTCCTTGGTAAACGACACACACGCAACCCATGATGCATATGCATACAAAGTTTATCAACCGAAGTTCAACACTTCAAAAGTGATGTGCCGGATAAGAAGTGGAACAGAAGATGGAAGAACAGACAGAGGGACAGGATAGATGGACCAGGTGAATCCTATATATCCCCAAACTATGAATGCGGGGGGTATAAAAACTGTAGAATACACTTGCGTTGTCAGTTTATTTTCAACTTTGAGTTGAAGATCCTCACCTCTCTTAAGGATGATTAAGGTCAAGTTTTGTTCCAATTGGCAAACTAATTTTAGAAGAGGATATTTTTGCAAATGTAAATGAGAGATGCCAAGTGACGAGAAAAACTCAAATGACCCAACGATTTAATTTCTTTTTATCAATACTGAATAGTCAAAAAACTTAAATGGTGGTAACCATAAAATGAGGAGCTAAAACTTTTCAACCAGTAAATCCTGATTTCTCTCTATTTTTATGCCAAACTATCTCCTATTCTGTATGGATATTGACAATACATCTGCAGAGTTTTATTTCTACTTTCAGTCCAGTCATTAACGAAATGTTTTTTTGAAAAAGACTTTAAAACTGACAAGGTTCCATATGTAAATATAAACAACAAATCTCACAAAATAATAAAACAGGATTTTATTTTCAAATTGCACAAATGATTTGTACACACGTAAGCTGACATAACATCAACAATACAATATATATAGAAATAACAATAACAAGTGGAGTATCTACCTGACAGATGATATTTCTAACCTCTTATCAACTAACTAGTAAAACAATGGGAATATTTAACATTTCAAATGTATACTGTGAATTCGAAAATTATTGCGTGGTTTTCATTAATGTGAATAATGCGACTGAATGAGTATCGCAATAAAAAGAACTCATATTTTAATATCTGAAACATATATCTGTATGCAGCTTTTTCCGAAATTGCAATAATTAATCTCATTTTTTTCTAATCTTAAATTATCACAATAATAAATGCACACAATAATTTAGGAATTTACAGTATTCTAAATATATGATATGTACAACTGCATGGAGCTCTATACTGATCAGAATAAAACATGTTCTGGTATATTTTGTATTTCAATATTTAATTGATTGATTGGTTGCTGCTTGCTAAACATCCAGTGGCAAATATTTCATTTAAATATTAAAAAATTGCATCAAGCTTTTAGGTTTTTACATGTTTTTGTATTTTTTATTCAATAGGGGTCTTTGATAGACAGAAACTTTTCAAATTCAGACTTGATTAACATCAAGTCAACCAAAACTTCTAGTATCATCAAACAGAGACGTGTAGTGTAAATGAAAGATGTAAATAAGTTTGATTAAATAAAAAAATTCTGTATTATAAACATTTTGTCCCTATAAAATAACAAAACTGAGTTAAAAACTGAATACTAGTATGCAAAACTAATTTTATTTTAAATATTCAACCATTTTAAAATATCCACAAGGAGGTCAAAGAGTTATCACTCACATGGTTCCTTACCATACTAATTTTAAAATCAGAATTTTACCCCAGTCAACAATCTGCTGATATCATGGATATATACATATATATATATACTTATAATGTATGGATTTCATGACCCAAGTTTTCATATAACAAAATATCATAAATGAATTTCACTGTAAGAAATGCAAAAAATACAGAAAACATGGTCCCTTATAGAGTAAAAGAAAAAGTAAAAATATATCAATTTCAAGTCTGTCTGCATCCGAGACAATGAGAAAAACAAAAGTTTTCCATTTGTCTTTTTAGCAACACAATATAAAGCATTTAACATTCACAGACTAAAAGGGATTATTTTCAAGCATCATTATTTAAATACCCACCAGATTGAGGTAACTTGAATTCTAGGAACATGAAAGGTTTTTATATTTAAAGCTTAGACATTAGATTATCTAATCTTTTAGCTTCATGTGCTAAGCATTACACAAAGTACCTCATCATAATAACGATTAATAAATTGCTTCGCCGAGCACAGCTGGATACAACGGCAGAGGTCCAACCCTGATTATTTGGGGCAAAAATGGACACAATATTGGCACTTGATACAGGTCTGTATTTGGATTGTAATTAAATATTTGACACATAATAGGTTTCTGACACAGAATAACTGTAGTCAAAGAACTTAGAATTGGTTATATGATTTGAATTTATATTCAATTTTTTGCTTTTGAGCAATACACCATGCAGTTGCGAATTGAACCCCCCCCCCCCCCCCCCCCCCCCCAAAAATAAAAAAATTTTACCCCCCCATTTTTTTTTTCACCTCCCCTTTTTCCAAAATGTCTTCAGACGACGTTGACGCTGACAAAAACGACGATGTGATACCAAAATTTTTTGAGGTCGTATAAAAATGAACTGAAATGAAACCATCCTGAAAATAACCTCCCTTTTTATGTTTGTCTTTACATTTGTGTACAAATGTTTTAAATAATCCACCATACAATAATATTGAAGTGAATACCGAAGTTTTTATAATAACATTGAATTACAAAATGTTTAGCTCTGTTTTTAGTCTTTTTTTTTTTTTTTAGGGGAATTGAATAATGTGTTGATAAGAATTTATTATTATTTAAATGCATCAAATTTACATTTTGACAACCAATACCTCGAAAGTAATGATATAAATATTTTTGAATAAAAACCCATCTTAAAAATGGTGAAGAGCTGATAAAAGAACAGGAGCTTAACGTAGCTATGACAACAGAACTTTGCTAAACAGAGGTGATCCTACAAAACTTAAATCCTATTATTCCCAGGAAGTATATTTGGGTTATTAAGAGAATCAATAATTAAATTACAAATCTCATCTTTTATATAAAGCACTACCTGACATGTAAACAACATTTTATACATATCTCTGAATGGTTATATGCAAGTGGTCACTAATCTTAAGATGTATGAATCCCTAATAATGAGTATATATAGATGGTGACACTGAAACATATTATATACTAAAAATAACTTTCCACAAAACATAAGAGTTTTATATCGTTTAACTAAGAGCACCTACATAATCTGTAATGGACTAAATAATAAATTTCTCTTATAAATAACAATAGCAAGAGGTAATTAAAAGTTCATATACTGTACCAGTACTATACAATAGCAATACATTTCTTCAAATTATTACTAGACTAGTTTGAAATAAAATATAATAGATCGCTTTTGACACTCATTAGTTTATAATAAATTCCCCCCCCCCCCCAAAAAAAAAAATATATGTATGGATTTCGGTGAGAGGCTTTGGCATTATGTGAACTGATTTTATTTGAATGTGATCTTGATAAAAAAAAATGCTTTGAGGATGTTGGCTGCTTATTCTAAATTAACAAGATTTTTGGAAGACGTTATAAATTGATAGAATATAAATAACGGAGCTCAAAAAGCAGGGCAAAAAGGTTGGTGCCATAGCTTGTTTTTGAGATACAAGCTATTGAAAATTTGATGGGAAATGATTCTCTCTAGATTCTTCCAACATTTAACATTGGAACCATTTTTCTCTCAAAAAGTATGCAAAATAACAAGTTTTTTATAAGATTTTCAAAAATGTCTTTTAAACTATATGTAATAAAATTATGAAAAGAAAAGTAAAGTAGGAGTTACTGGGCAAATTTTGAATGGCACTACATGGATATAACCAGAGGATTCTGAATATCTGACAAAAAGTCAAGAAACAAGATCAGTGAATTCTTCTTTACATCTTAAATAACATTTGTGAAATGGCTACACAAATCAATACCTTGAATTTAATAATCACTCAGGTAAGTATTTGTTTTCTTTTACTCCTTATCAAGGCAATGTTTTACAGGACAATACAGTGTTATTCAAATAGGTCATAAAAGGCTAGTCATTAAGCTGCCATACTTATAACAATTATCAAATTCTTCTTTGGGGGAGATCACATCAATTTGAGTTGTTCCAGAACAGCATTCAAGGAAATTTTTTAAACCAATAAAAACGTATTTCTCCAGTTGTCTTGAGTGTAAAAGTTGTGTCTGATAAGTAAGTTTTATTTTTATCAATAATCTATTGAAGACTTGTTCTGTACAAAAATCTGTACCATTACATACCAGTAATAATTTACATGATTTGCTTAGAATTATGCCCAGTAGTAAAATGCAGTTTATTGATAAAAATCAAACTTGATAAAGATATAAAAAAAAAATCAAAAAAAATATACTCAACAGAAAAGAAAAGACAAATTTGTTTGTAAGGCATACTTCAAATGGAAAACTACCACAGTTTTAATGGTTCACATAAGAAAGATATTTCACAAATTTTGAAATTTAGAAAAAAAATACTGTAAAATCTTTATTTCAATCCTTAATCTCTGGCATTCAATTCATAAAGCTGGATTTCAGAATATTTCAATAATACCAAAGCAAAGTAGAAGAGTCACTGGTCTTAAAATGTTAGAAGCAAAATAAATATAACTCCTAGTAACTTAAAAAAACATTGATTATCATACTTACAAAAAAGAAGGTATAATATGCATGTTTATAAATATGACTTTTATCATGTAAATGTAAAGCAAGTATCAGGTAACAAAAAATTACAAAATTACAGGTAGTTACTAGTAACATAATAAAATACTTGGAAAATAAAGTGTGGTCTCAGAAAAAGACAACAAAAAAACATAAATATAAGTGACTAAGGTGTAGAAATAAAAATAAAAATAGTATAGTAATACATGTAAAAAGGATTGAAAAATAGTTTTAATACTGATAAGACAAGAGTAAAGCAAATGGAAAACTATATCCTATGATGTACATCACAAACAAACATAGTAATTCTGAAAAAATCATCATAAGATTTAGAAACAAACAATAAAATTTCTTTGATTTCTAATGCATAAATAGTTTTTCACAAAGTTAAAATCATTGATATATATACTAATTTTGGGACGCAGGTACAGATATATGAGCTGTGTCGGATAGAAATCAACTTTTAGCAAGTGCACGTATACATGTACATGTATAAGGCTTGATTGATTTTGGAACATTCAAATACGAAATAAGAGATGGTTTTTGGTCTGTTTTGTAGGGTTCTTAAAATCAACTCAATTTTCAAACAGTTACAGTCACATCAGACTCTGCATAGAAATTTAATCAACCCCAAAAAATAGGGATGTATTGATATTGATTTGCATAAGGTCCATTTCTATCTTACACAGCTCACATGTAAATAAAGACTTTAAAATGTACACATTTCTTTATGATAATACCTGAAAATGTACTTTAAAAGGAAATATATTTAATTATAAATGTTGACATAGATTTGTCTCGCCTATGTAACTTAATCATAAACTTTAACAATTGTTGATTTTGATGACAACAGCATGTCTTAGTCTTTATTTCACATATAATATTGCAGGCAAGATAAAATGTATAACATAAAAAAAAAATATAAAGAAAAAAGGCAAGAAACAAAAATATGACTGATAGTAGGCCATATAAAATTAGTTCTCATTTCTAAACACTACGCAGTCTGCACCGTTAGCCACTAATCCGATGCCCCAGACTAGTAAAATTTAATTCGGACTAGTATGTATTTGCAAAACTTTGTTTAAACATATTAGAAAAATGTTGGTATATAGGTCTTCGGACTAGTTGTGGGAATACATTTTGGTGCAGTCTGCTACATCTTTGACAGAAAAATAATGTCAAATAATGGTGTATCTTGTATCATAAAACAATGATAATCAATTTCACATGGCCAAATACTCGTATATTAGTAAATGTTCAATAATACTTACAAAATAAACATATGGTAAAATAAAAATCAGGATCTGTTATAGACAACGGATTTCTGGTTCACTGTGGATTAATTATTATTCATCGGACACCTACTTTCGTGGATTTTTGTGTATATAAATAAACCACAAATTTAAATGTTCAATGAAGTACAAATTTTCTGTTGACTTGTATGCAGACTTTTGCAAAACCAAGAAAAAAACTATCCACGAAAATATAATTTTCATTCAATCCATGAAAATTGGTACCCACATAATAAATAAATCCACAATATTTCTATCTGTCTCAGTTGTTGTTAATTATCATATATACATAAATAATGAATGCATCTTGTAATTACACTTGCATCTTTATAATATTATGCTCTCTTTATTGAAACATATTTTAATCTACATGTCGATAAACATAAACGTTACATAACAAAATACAGGACTACCATTGTACTAAAAAAATAAACAGTATAAATATAGGAAAAGTACTAAAATAAAAAAACTTATATTTACACTTGTTGTCAATGAACCAGTTAATATATAAGAATAATACATAGAACTATTCATTTTCAACATTATCAACATTGATAATGTCTTGTCTGGTCAAATAAATTTTGAAGCAACATAATCTCAATATACATGATATATGAACTGGTCCATTTCAGTACTTATTGCTTCAAAGAAATTCATGCCATTATGCCTTTTAATGACAATTTATCAACCTTTACCAGCTTTTGTTACAAACTGGCAACTCTCTAAATTTCTTATTGTCATGTTAGAATTTTACAAACAAATTTCTGATCACAATACACCAAATATTGCTCAAAATGTTTTTTCAAAAAACCTACTGCATGTGACCTAAGATTCTTATTTCTTAATTTAAAAACATTCTTCCATTTGTTTCAAAAATATCTCCAAACAAAAGTTTGAATATAATTGTTTACATTTTATAATCCTAATTGTACCATTAACTTAACAGTCTTAACAATTTCAACATTATTCATCACATAAAAATGTCTCAATTAAACAAACAGAAGACTTTTCATATCATTAACCACCATCACGTAGACCAGTTTCACCAGACCTCACATTTATGGACCGGGTTCATCAGAGAATTCTTTGCACAACCATAATTTTCAGCAAACTCCTTGGAGTTAGATAATGTCCCTATTACTCTGTAAAGAAAAAGAAAAATGAATAACTTTTTTTTTTATAAAATGAAACAAAACAAAAAAAGGGGGTAGGTAAAACATTCATTACTGTGAAATAGATTTATAAATAACATGTTCCTGCATAACAAGAAAAATTATTACAGAAAGAGTTATTATCCCTTTCAATTAAAAAAGAAAATAAATTTAATTCTCCAGAAGCTGCTGTTTGTGATTTCCTGTAAAATATACCCCCACTCTTTACTAGACATTGATGAAAAATTCCATGCACAGTCGGTACAATAAAAATTCAAAGTATTTTCAAACAGAAAGCAGATTTCATTCTCATTATTAAGTTCCAGACCATATATCATCTCATTCCATAATCTGAGAAACTTAAACAAGTAATTCCATTCTCATTGCATACAAGAAAATTTTAAAGTATTGTTAATATGAAGTAACTGCCTAATTTCTATTGAGTTTTCAAATATTTACAATCTTCAATGATTTATACCTATATTTTGCTGGACTATGAGGATCAGTTAATATCTGTAGATGATCAGCCTCAGCGGTACTAGACGAACACCATACCTGAAATAAAATCAGGGATCTGTAAAACTCAAAGTTTAGCAAGACGATTCTTCCTTATGACTATTCATTAGGAAGGTTGAAAGGTAATAATCATGTAAAGCTGCATAAAAAGTAGAAGGAATAAAAATCTAAGATATTTTGCTACACATGCATTTGTGATCTATTAAAAAAAACAAGAATCTGTGTCCATAGAACACTATGTCCTTCTTGCACTATATTTCTAGGTTCAGTGAACTGCGAAATTGGGGTTAAATCTAAAATTTGGCATAAAGTTTTAAAAGTTCACACCATGATGAACTTTCAAGTTGATATGACTACTACTTGATGGTGAACTACTTAAAATACTTTATTGATTTTTTGGTAATAGACTATACTTACGAGATTAAAAAAACACCTTAATGTATCCTTTTTAAAAAGGTTAGTAGCAATTGGTCCATCGCGTAAAACAATGTTAATGTTCAATATCTACTTTATTTGAAATCTTCAACTTAAATTCTTTAAGACGATCATAAATGTATATTTTAATCAAAGTTTGGTAGCAATTGGAGCTTGACTTGATTTTTCTGAATTTTTTTTAATCCAAGTACCTATTTTAAGTAATGGTTGCAACCTTGTCTGAATGATGATTGGATCATTAAATCACATGGTTAACCATAAACTGACCTAATTGTAAACTTCTAACAAATTGTTGATGACGCCACCAATAGAAACAGCAGGTCTAAGTCTCGCCTTCACTTCTTCGCAAATACAAGACAAAAACTGTACTTTAAATATTTAAATTGACATACCTGAGCAAATCCTAAGAAGAAAAGTTGTTGATGTGTAAGGTTTAATGTTGGCAGAGGTCTCTCTGGTGCATGATGGTCTACCCAATCAAGATATGCCTGTGATTAAATATAAGTCAGATATGTAAAAAAATCAATAATTACATCTAATGTACTTATTTGAAAAGATATAAGACATTCTTTATAATAAGCCCTTTATATATAAAAAATAAAATGATATAACACAACAACAAATTGATGTAAAGTCAGACATCGAACATATCTTTTCATTAAGAAAACAGTAAGAAAATGTTATACTACTTCAATATTCCTAGTAGAAAAGTCTGTTAGATCTATCTACTATTAAGTCAGTAGCAGATTCTCTGATAGCAGATGGGGACTTATTTCCAAGATGGCTGTAAACATGATAAAAGAATCTGTAAAAACTGAGGCTATACCTTAGAGTAATCAAAGTTTTGCCTTCAGTGAATACCAGCAGCAACAGGTCTAAAAGATACCTATGTGCAAGATCATTTACAATAAACAGCTACGCCATGAGCAAATGATACGCCTGTCGCTTTTTTAAAGAATAATGTTCCATAACTCCTCAATGTCATATCAGAAATTTATAAAAAACTAAAGGGAGGTTATTCTAATAGATATAAACCAGTCATGAAAACTGCTGAAAGCACTTTTAAGTTATTGTCAGAAAACTGGAAAATACCCCTTTTTTAATGAATAAAACCCCATAACTCGGAAACATAAAATCTAAAATTTATATAAATCGAAAGGGAGCTCACATCAATAGATATAATTCATCAAAGTTTCATGAAAACTGCTCAAAGCATTTTTGAGTTATTGTCTGAAAACTGGAAAATCCCCCTTTTTTAATAAATAACACCCCATAACTCAGAAACATAAAATCTAAAATTCATAAAAATCGAAAGGGAGCTCACATCAATAGATATAAACAAATCACCAAAGTTTCATGCAAATTGGTTAAAGCGTTTTTGAGTTATTGTACAACATGTTGACGATGGACGGACGGACAGACAGACAGATAACGGTATACCATAATACGTCCCATAAACAGGCGTATATAAATTGCAAAAAGTTTTAATTTTGTCATGACTTATCTTTCACTACAAATCAATTCTAAATAAATAAAGGTTAAATATGGTTTAAATGATCTACAAAAATCTTGCAAAATCCATTGCATTATACCAACTGCACCCTCCATAATTTTTTTAAGCAGATTGACCAGATGTCACCCAAGTACATATTATTATTATTTGAACTTACATGATATGCAGATTTTAGCCCTCCATTATCTGCAATATTTTCCCCTAACGTCTGTTTTCCATCAACCTATAAAACAAGGGAGATAATTACAAATTATGAAAAAGTCAAAGAATAACCAATAAGCATTTTCAAGTTCTCTCCCTTTAATTTTGTTTATGGTCAGAATGCATATGTCAAGTTACTGGTTTTCAAAATTAGATCAAGTAGTTTTTTATCAGTTCCTTCAAAACTGCCATGTTAGACACTGTTTACTGTTTAAACAAAGATGGGGGAACATCATACAGACCAGAAAACAGTTAAAGAGAGAAAAAAAAGTAATGTTCTAGTCACTGAACTTTCTTTTCATTACATAAGAAATGGTAATGCAACTCTAAATATCATGATTCATATCTAATCTGTGTCCTGTATGACTTTTTTTTTTAAATGTGATATAAATTGTTTGTTGAGTCAACAAATGATAATGGTTTTAAAAATTGCTGTGGGAATAACCAGCAAATGATAATTTTGCTTATAGGAATTCTGCTAATACTATATAGGTAAGACTTAAGATTTTTAAATAATTTTCTTAGCTCCATAATAAATGTCGACTTACATGGTCATCTTGAAGTTTATAAGTGGAATACTGATTGATAAAGCATTTTGTCTGTACGTTGAAATTCTCTATTGATCTATTATTCCACCAAGGACGTAAATTACCAAACTTGTCATATTCTCGACCTTGATGATGCAAAATAAGAATGACATATCTTCTTATTATTAAACTCAGTGAAAAAGTAAGTTTAAGTAATAGTGGTCTTTATTTTGTGAAAGACTATTAGAATATCATTTCAGCCTTATAACCTCTATGGAATTGATTAAAGCATTCTACTACTCATTTCTTTAAATAGTATTAAGTACTAAGAAATAGTTTCTTTTTTACTACATAAAAATTATGTTGGTTAATTGATCAATCAGCTGTCCTCAAAATGAAACGAACTGCCATAAACCTATTGGAATGTATACAAACTGGCATTGAAAACATGGAACAACTATCAATAACTGTTTTTTGTTTTTTTAAATTCTCAATATTCTATAATAAATCAGACCCTATGATTGCTTTTATCTACTTCATTTGAACTCTGGTGGATAGTTGTCTCCTTGGCAATCATACCACAACTCCTTCTTTTACGATATCTTTGACACCTGACCCGAGATTGCACGACACTTGAACTATTGATGTCACACAAGTCACAGCAATCACTTTTGCATTGTTGCATCAGACATTTTCTGACATCAAAATTTTTTGGAAATTTGTGATGGTCAGTTATGGCAGACAAATAGAGATCAGGTGCATTGTTTTAAAATCTTTTGCTTACAGAATACTGTTTATATGATTGTTGCAAATTTGGCTTATTTTGCAAATAAAGTAGAATACTATGTAAAAATCTATATGATGTGAAAGGCACACTTTTATACTACATGCATGAAGGTTTATGCATTGAAATTGTAAAACTATACACCTTTACACTATTCAGCCTTTATTAATTTTATAGCAAGCTGGTGGTAACTAGGTTTTTTCAGAAAAGTGTTGCTTTTTCATAAACTGGAAAATTAACCAATTAGATTTTCAGTTTGATTAGCCAGCCATATTTTGTCTTCTAACTTCATGAAATGAGGTAGTGCTATGAAGGATCTTTTGATCATTATTGCAGTCAAAATTATACCAAACTGGCAGACCAGTTTCAAAGAAGATCAAATTATACTTTCCCGACCAACAGGAATTAGTAAGGACCAACTTATAAATATGTTTAAGAAAAATTAGGCAACAATAATAAATCCAACACTATGCAGATGTCAATAGCTTGTAACATAGGCCAATAGAGTAAAAAAGTTGCAATAAAGGGTAATCAATTTAATACTGTTAACCAAGTTATTTTTGCAAGCACTTTTTTCACAAGACTTTCATTGGTAGTCTTCACAAAAAATAAATTTGTTTTCAATATTTGGTTTCAAATATACTATTACTGTGGCGATTCATTTATTTCGGTTGGTATCAATATTGTGGATTGAGGAAAAATTAAATATTTGGATATTTGATTTTGTGATTTTGGTAATGTCTGCATACAAGCCTGTAGTAAATTTACACTTCGTTGAACATTTAAATTTGTGGTTCAATAACACCCACAAAAAATGGTATTCCATGAATAATAATGAATCTACAATATAAAAGTCATTTGTATCTAATTTATTAGTAAGTACCTTGATCATCAAAGCCATGTGTTAGTTCATGACCCATCACCACACCCATAGCTCCAAAGTTCAATGATCTACAAGCATACCAAGCAAACAGATGAATGAAGAAGAAACAATGACAGATGTGGGTATTGATATGTGGTATATCCCAGAAAAATTGTCTTAATTTCATCAAACAACATTTAAATGATAACTCAAAATAAAACTTATTCAGAGTAGCATAAATCACTTTTTAGTTGGAAATGTCATGTATTTTTTGTTGCATCTCAAAATTTCAGGGAAATTTTATTCCTGTAATGGTAGAAAAACTAGAAATTCATGTACCTATGTGCAGAATCAAGGACCAAAAAAAAATGATTTGACACCACATGAAATTTTTTTGGGGGTGGAAGCAAATTTTTTAAAATCAATACTTTCAAATATTTGAAAAGCAGACAGCTCTTTTTTTTTCTCTTTTCGATCTACATTCAATAAAAAGTTTTTGTAAATCTGAGCGGTTCCCAAATATATTGTTTTGGGGTCTTTGAAGCCTACTTATATTAAAAAATTCTGTTGGTCGGGAACAACTAAGAAAGTTTCCAGCTGCATCCTTTGATGAAAATAAATATGTTGGCGGTGGTCGTCAAAAGAATAAATGCTTTCAAATATCCCTATAGAAATATTTCTGGAACAGCCCTTAAACAAGTTAATTTCTTTATATTTGGGCGAATAGCATTCTCAATGAATGAGAAACTCTTCTTCCACCCCTTTACTTTTTACCTAATTAGTCTCTTGAATAGAGACATCTTTTACATACATGACAAAGAAAATTATAAACCTCTAATATAATTTTCTTCTTTATAAAACTATAAAGTAGGACAAAACAACAATTCAGTATACAAATTGAATTGCCATTTAACCTTACTTGGGATATTCTTGATCATAGAATGGAGCTTGAAGTATTCCTGCTGGAAATACAATCTGGTTTTTAGAAGGAGTGTAGTATGCATTCACTGTTGGTGGAGACATCCCCCATCTGAAATGTAGAATAATAATAGTTAATTATGTTCTTGTGAAATGTTTTGAAAACTGAAATAAGTTGAATTATGAGCAATAAACTGATCTAATGCTTACAAATGATCCCCCCAACTATATGTATTTAGTAAACACAGTAAGCTGATGAGCAATGATTCTGAAAATGCACAACACCGTAAAGCAAGCTCAACAATGTTTGTGTATTAGAATTTTCAGTCGAATCCTTTCTGTTTTGTTACACTTTCTTGATAGTATCCTCAATTAAAGCTTAAAAGTGTTCATAAAATCGAGAAGAGACTATTTGTTGGATGCACAAACACCTGAATGTATAGACTGAGGGACTAATTACTGTAGGGATACAACCAAGGATGGGTAGAACCTAGTAAAAGTACTTACGCATTTGACTCCGGTGCTTTTCTTAGCTTTCCCAGATCTTTCCTTTGAATAAAGTACAAATTTCTTACATTGTTCCAAAAATATTCATCCCCATTAATAATAAGCTGAAAAGATAAAATAAATTACCTTTCAATTGTCAACAACATTACTTATTTTTTCATCATCTCTTGTTTCTTGTTTACTTGTTGAAGAAAGATACTTTCTATCTATTGCAAATTTAGATTTTTTTAGATGTATTTATTATTATATAATTTAATTATCTGCCCTTGATTTTAAAAGATTTGTCTGAAATTTTAAAATACACGTAATACTTTAATTTCTCGATAGATTAATCCTAAAATTTCAAGTGATGGCTGTTTCTGTTTAATATTGAATGATTCTTGGTAGAATATTTTTAAACCAAAAAATATTTTTGCAACATGCCCAGAAGGGATGCTCAGAAAAAGACACCCTATCTACCTTAAAAAGTTTTTTCATTATTCTGAAAAAAATAACATCTTTTTATAATAAATCACACAACACATAGAAATGAATCAAAAATTATTCACTGCTTTCTAAAAAGCAGCTATACAAGTTCATTTATTCAAACCTTATTTTATATCTAGTATACAAAAATATAGAATTAGTCGATACCTTCTCATATCTTGGGCTCATATTCAAATGTAATGGTACTTTTACAGAAGCGAAGAAAAAATTGGTTAATCAAGCACAAAAAGCATTATACAGCTTGTACAAAAGTATTAGAAATCAAGTCATCCAATTAGATTTACAGCTTAAACTTTTTGATGCCATGGTAGAGCCTATTCTTTTATATGGCTGTGAGATTTGGGGATATGAAAACTTGAAAATTGTAGGACAAATTCACTTAAATTTTTGTAAACATATTTTAAGAGTAAGATCTTCAACGCCTAACTATATGGTATAAGGAGAATTAGGCAGATTTCCATTAGAAAATAAAAGTCAAAATAAGAATGACATCATTTTGGAGAAGTATAATGCATGGTGAAAAATTAAGTAGTAATATGTATAGATTATTATTAAGTTTAAAGCAAAATAGCGGTCAGTCATTCAAATGACTGAATTTTATAGAATCAATATTTAATGATACAGGACTAGGATATGTGTTTGTCAATCAAGATAGTACTGACTACAAACAACTGATAAAACAGGTTTTACAAGACCAATATATACAAAAATGGGATCAAGATGTTCAATTATCTTCCTGAGGTGTATTTTACTCAGTTATAAAAATTATTTTGGTTTTGATAATTATCTAATAAAAATCCCGGAAAATGCAAGAATCTGGATGACAAAATTAAGAACGTCTAATTTAAAAATTCCCATTGAAACTGGGCGTTGGTATAATATTCCGGCGGAGGACCGAAAATGTCACATATGTAAAGAAAATGTAGGAGACGAATTTCACTATCTTTTTATATGCAAGTCTACCCAACTGGTTATTTTTAGAGAAAGACATATCCATAGTTATTATACAAAGCATCCAAGCAAGCAAAAATTATCTGTTATGTTATCTTATTGCAATGTTAATTTATATAGACAGCTGTCATCTTTTATTAGAAATCTAAATAACTTATTGTGATATGTATATTGATTTGTATGAATTTTTATTTGTTTTTGTTTTTAAATGTTACCATTGTATTATAAATCATGTTTATTATTGTATATTTACCTCATGTTACACATATATGTGTCTGAGCGTTGCTTTACAATAAATATTGAAAAAATATTGAAATTCATTCAACCAAACCTTATTATATATCTAATATACAAATTCATTTATCCAAACCTTATTTTATATCTAGTATACAAATTCATTTAACCAAACCTTATTTTATATCTAATATACAAATCTATTAAACCAAACCTTATTTTATATCAAGTATACAATTTCATGTAACCAAACCTTATTTTATATCTGGAATGAAGACTTGCTATCTAGACAATGTCCTCTGAAACCAGAGATACTTGGTTCTATTTGCTGTAGTTTCTACTGATTTATATTTTACTTCATTTAACCTTTCAGTGTATTAAGGATGTTCCCTCCTCTTGTTTTTGATTTTTTGCTAGATATTCGGAATTCTCTGGTTTTATCCATGTAGTGCCATTAAAATTTGTTGCCCTCTAACCCCTTTTTTTCTTTTCATAATTTTATTACATATAGTTTAAAAAGCCATATTTGAAAATCTTATAAAATCCTTGTTATTTTTTCATTGTTTTTGAAAGAAAAAAGGTGCCAATGTTAAAAGTATGAAAAATCAAGAGAGAATCACTTCCCGCACAATTTTCAATGACTTATATCTCGAAAACAAGCTCACAGACCCTTCATTTTTTTCTGCTTTTTTAGTTCCTTCGTTTATATACTATCAATTTATAACAGTCTTTTAAAAAACTTATTTTGAAATAGAGTAGCAAACATCCTTAAAAAACATTGTAGAGTCATAATAAGCCATTATAGCTTATATCACAGTAAAATGTATTAGTTCGTATTTATATCTCGTAAATATATTTACCCCTTTATATTCTTTATCTAGACGAGTTTTGTTGTTGATGAATGCTGGGAAACCAATCATATCTATCACAGCATTTGCCTAAAAAATATGATAAAAAAATTCTTTAAAATTTATAGAGAGAAGGTATGAATAGGTAACTCTTTTTATCCATGAATTTCAAAATTACAAAGCATTATCAATCTATCACAGAACATCTATCTATAAAATGTATGTAAGAAATAATTCTATCAGAAATCAGTAAATATACAGTTAAATTTTGTGTCATGTATTTGCTTTAGACATTAAAACTTCTTGCATTTAAAGAACGACAGCATGGCAGTATATATATAAAACAAATTGTAAATGTACCTTATCAATAGCTGCCTTCCTTGTAAATTCATCCATCCATTTAAGATTAGGTAAATTGTTGATAAATGCTGTTTTTACTTCAGCAATCATAGCTTCAGCCTGCAAAAACATTCACCAATAAGGTATAGTAAACAAAAACTGAATCCTAAGAATAATAATAATGGAAATACGAGTATACTGTAAATTCAGAAATTATTGCAAGGTTTTTATTAATGCGAATCATGCGAATGGGTGAAAACTGCAATAATAACTTGCATTCTTGTATATGATACCTATAGCTATATGAAGATTTTCCTGAAATTACAATAATAAATCTCACATTTTGTTTATTCTTCAAAAATTGATAATAATAAATGCACACAATAATTTCTGAATTTACAGTAATTATTGCAAATGTATAACGTATGAGAGAAAACTCATGGTAATACCTTATACAGGTAGACTGAATTTCCCATAATTTTAAACTAAAGGTCCACTAATGTCTTGATCTACATAATGAACTTGTGTCTGGATTATTACACATCCTGATCTTAAAATGTGAACTAGAATCAAGCATGTTATACCATTAGTTTTGCCTATATAACCAACATCCTTGTGATCTCTTAATATATATAACCTACATCCTATAAGGCCATTGTCTTAGAGACTAAACAATTTATATTTTTAGGATTTGACATAATGCATATCTTTCAACATTGCTAAATATATTTAAATATACAAAAAACATTCACAATATATATCAACAGATGAAGTATTCACTACAAAATGTAAAATTTACTGAAATGTCGCCATGCGACATCCACAAAAAGTCAACTTTTAAAAATGAGCAATTAAAATATGTTACAAGCATCCATTTCTTAAAAAATAAATGGTAAGCATAGGCTATTGTCAAATTGTTCTAAATATTTGAAGAGAATTAACAAAACATCAGTTATTGGATTTTTACGGATATGAATTTAAGCCTGGATGCAATTTGGGAACTCCTCATTAAAGAATCATGGATCATTTGGAGGTCGGTTCAAACCCATTTTTTCTATGATTCAATATGGATTCAAAACTAAATTGGTGGAACTATATAGTAAATAAGGATACATCTACAAAATAAACACAGACTGAAAACTTTTTTTCTTGATCATAAACGTAGGTGCAAGAAATTGTCAAAATAGGTGAAATTTGGGTACCTTACATTATATATATATTATCAAAAGTGCTATATCAGACTAGAAAATTAATCAAGTCCAGTTATTTCATGAGATATTTGAATCAATTCTATTTACATAAAATACATGTTGTCTTAAAATTATGGACTTTACTCACAAAAACTCATTGGCTATACCCATACCTGCCAACTTTTCAAAACCTCCATGGGGGATCTTAAGCACAAACGGACCTAGTGTATCTAATGTTATGTCACTAATCAAAAGTAACTTGTGGTTTCAAGCATTGCTCAGAGCAAGTTTATTCCAGAAAAAATAAAACTCATAGTACTACACAATACTTTATTCATGATCAATTCTTACCTTGTCCTTGCTGCGACCATTAAATGCCTCCTTGACAAACATGGCACCTAAAGCAAATCCTAGAACACTATCTGTATCAGATATACAGTATCTCCATAGCTCATCCCCACCTGACACACCTGTAGACAAGTACAAATAGTGCTCATTTAAAATGTTTACCCCAACCACATTCTTTATGTGTCTGTCCAAAGTTAAGAGCCTGTAATTCAATGCTTGTCATTGGTTAATGTCAGTGATAATAGTTTTTTGGTAAATTGTTTTGGTATAAATCAGTCTGTTGCTTTTTTTCATTTGAGTTGCTTTACATTGCGTGGTCCTCAGGCCTTTTATAGCTTGCAATATACTGTGGATTCATTTTTATTCATGGATACCAATTTACATGGATTTCGTGTGTAAATGTGAACCACGATTTCAAATGTCCAAGGGGCCTCGGTGGCCGAGTGGTCGAACTACTGTATCACTAGCCAGTCAACACTTAGGTTGTGAGTTTGAATAAAGCACGGGGCAGGTGCACTCATCTCCAATCTGTCAGATTTCCTATCCAAGGTCTTGGTTCTCTCCGACTTCCTCCATCAATAAAAACTGACCACCACAAAATAGCACAAGTGTTGAAATTGGCTTTAAAAAATCAATCAATCAATCAATCAATCAAATGTTCAACGAAGAAACATTTCCATATAAGCTTGAATAAAGACTTTGGCAAAATCACGAAACAACAATTTTTATTCAATCCACAATCCACAAAAATTGGTACCCACGAAAATAAATGAATCCACAGTAGTATGAGTTTTGCTCATTGTTGAAGACTTTACATTGACTTACAGACTTAGTTTTTATCATCCTTGTCCTATGGTCTTTAATAATATAATAATAATAATAATTCTTTATTTAAAGAGGGTTACACAGTTAGCTATAACACTAATCTTCCCTGAGGCCCTCATGAAATTCAATGAAATATTACAAACAAACAATTACAAAATAATCAAACAAACACACACATATAAGAAAATTCAAATAAGAAACTGTTATGAAATATACAATTTTCAAAACAGGTAAAAATTATGAATTCATATAGTATTGGCATCATTCAAATTACCTCAACAATATTTAAAGTTTAAGTGTGTGAAAATTATTATGCATATAAAATTACTTTTGGTGGATAGTTGTCTCCTTATCTAATAAAAACATGAATATTTGTATCTAAATACTATATTTAGATTGTATGAATAGACTGTACTAAAAGAGTAACTGGAATCTTGTTGCATTTTCCTACTTTCTTATCTGTGCTGAAATATGTCAAAGGTCGTCCCATAAAACTGAAAAGGCATTAGTATTTGTAAGGCATCAATTTTCAAGAGTTCGCTTCTACATTTTATAATTTATCTTCCTCTTTTTTTAATCCATTGAGGTAAAGCATGAAACATATAATTTACAAAACTATAGACCTGTAAATGTAAATTTTATTATATTTTTTTTATCATTTGTCTGCTCTCTCTGACCAGCATTACCCCTTGTTTCTCTTCATATCCATGCATACAAATAGTTTGGCAGTCTCAAGCTCTGAATGCATATTTTCAAAAAGTAAACACCCATAAGATTTTGATCCTAAAAATGATATCTGACCTGGCTTATCATATGACAACAGAATGTTACTAATCATAACACTTCCTGATATGACTGTTTACCTGAAAGAGCCTCAGTCAGAATCTTCCTGATATGACAGTTTACCTGAAAGAACCTCTGTCAGAATCTTCCTGATATGACTGTTTACCTGAAAGAGCCTCCGTCAGAATCTTCCTGGCATCTCTGAATGGTCTAGATAGATAGTTTGCCATTGTCTTTATGACATGAACAACCAGGTAGTTCTGTACTGTTCTGAAAAGATGAATGATTTCAAAAATGAATTTCAACTACAATCTTACAAGTTTATATGTTAAATGATATTTTGCAATACTTTTATTTAAAAAAAATGCATGAAACAAAAAGTGTACTATTAGCAACATCATTTCAATAGTCAAATTTAATATCAGTAAAGATGCTAATGCAACAGCATACTCATGCTGTTCTTTTTGCATTACAAGTTCCTCTTCATATACACATCTTATCAGAAAAATTAATTTTGAACAAATGATCTATAATAAGTGGACTCGTTTTTTTTAACCAGAAATCTAGATGAGGCAATATTACTTGTCACATACTATACTTGCGGCTGAAGTGGCTGCCTATGCATTTGCAAACAAATTATTAACTAACTTATCTAAAAATGGACTTTTTAACAAAACTCAACATTTAGCTGTAGACACTACTGCCAGGGAAGTAAAATCTCTACTACAGGAAAAAAACAAATAATTCAAATAAACTAGGCCTAAAATGACAAGTTTTTACAAACCTCTTTCCTTTATCTGTTTTCATGGTGTCTTCCACCAAGTCAGAAATTTCCTTTAAGAACTTTGGGGAGTAAGCTACTATTGGCTCTGCAGATGTCAGTTTTATATTAACTGTGGAAAATAGCTTGTTGAAGAACCTCTTCCAATTCACCTATAGTTGAAAAAAATTCAAATTCACTTAAGTTTCTAAATTTGTGATACAACATTTGTTCTTGAACTAATGCGCAAGACATAAATCAAATCAATTAAAAGGACAACAGTGCAATTAAGTTCTTGTTTCAAATTGAAAAAAAGGTTAAATGTTTTTTATACTTTATTGGCTAAGTTTTACTTTAAATCATGTGTACATGAAGTTTCTTTTAAAAGAAAATCCTTTCTATTATAAAATCTTCAGAAATGTGATGCTATTTAATTTTTGTCTTCCATTAATCTAATTCACTGATAGCTGTGTGCATTGACCTTAACCACAATATCTCTTGTTAAAACTTTGGCAACTGCACAGCGCAAAAACGAGGGGTAAACCATGATTAAGAGAATGTAAACAAATGTGCAGTGGAATGTAAATAGTGCTTATTGATTCTGAAAGAACAATTGAATAAATCAAATCATGGAACAACTTTTATGACAATGTTCAATTAACAAATAGAAACTCATGGAAAATTAAGAAAATATAAACATTGCATGTCTATCATCTCACTTATTGTTCACATGCTCCACGATTCTGTGTTGATTGTTTATTAAGGTCACATTCGGTACACTTTGGCAATAAAACATGAAGCAGGGAAGGTTTTTGCTACATGAAATAATTTTGGTGATTATATGTTATGGATTCATAATGATTGTGAAAAATCTTGCATCAAGGACTTAATATCAAAAATATATACATGCATTGGTTAAATAATTTCCTTAACATAATAATATCAAGAAACTCTTTTCATATGACTTTAAACCACTTTTCAAATCTAAACAAAAAAAAAAAAAACAAAAAAATAAGTGATTTTCCCACTGGTCAAATGTGATTGCTATGATATATACTGTGCAAAATAATTTGAGAATCATTTCCATTTAAAAACAAATCCTTAGTAGTCTCATGTTTGCCTTTAGTGTGGGAGGTCACAGGTTCAATCCCTAGCCTGGAAAAGACAGACTTAAAAATTGGGATATGCTGTATTCTTGCAAAGAACACAGCAAAGACTAGTTGGCCTCAGAGAGTAATGTGTCAGGGTAGGGTGACAGGTCTTCCTGCTAACTGTGTGAACTAGCAAGTTAGAGAAATACATTTTGAATTCATTCAAAATTTTTCAAGGTATTCTTATGACCACATTTGTACAGATTTTTGTTATTAAAATAAATTTTGCTTCACAAGTTTCAATTTTAAGGTTCTCAAAAATCTGATTTTTGTCCAATCAAACAATTTTGATTGGGGGAAAATTTACAGCTCTTTTCTTAAGTTTTCCAAGACAAACACCTGCTGTTTTCAAATTTTATAAGTAGAAATTGCAAAGTCCATTTTTTGGTATCACACATGAGGCAAGCATACTTCCACAAAACCAAGTAGGCAATTCAAGTATTTCTTAATTTACAGTATCTTATAGAATTACTAACAAAAGTAGAATTTTCCTGTAGTTTTCCTATTGTAATTTTGTGGTATATCTTTTCTTCATCTCTTCTCTCTTCTCGTGGAATTGTGATCTGAAAATACAAACATATCTCTCTCAAACTATTCAATTTAGATAATAAGTGTACTATATTTATGCCAACTTTAAACCTTAAGTTTTTTAATAATTCTATCATTAAGTTTATACATATCTGATTTTGTAATGCTTCATTTTCTAGGCTATATACAACATTTAAGCAAATTCACCTTTCACATGGAATAGCTACATGACTTCTGTGTATAAAATAATTGCTCTTACTTCATTGTACATTGAGCTCAGTAGTTACAAGCATTCAGTCAAAGGGAATTCCTCATTGCAAAACAGTAATGATGTAACCGAGATGATGATATAGAAATGAACAATGACATCAATCTTTTAATAAACTCAGCAGGAAAAACACATTTTAGCAAAATTATCATGATATCATAATTTTACATAAAAAGGCATCATCTATTGAACTTTCAATAATTTTACTTCCAACTTTGCTATGTGATCAGATAGTCCATTAAACATTCAACTCAATTATACTAGTAAAATCATCAAAGTGATATGAAAATAATTTGTATCTTTACGTGTTGGTGTTTAAAACCACTTTCAGCGACCTTGGCTACATTATAGCTACCAATTTTCATGAATGGAGGTCAGATAGTTTGTACAAAGAACTACAAATGAAATATCTAATTATTTCAAATACATGTTCATCTATAACTTACATTAGCTATTTGTGTTTCAAACTCAATGACATCTATCATCTGTTGTCTTGTGCTGTTCTCTTCTTCTCCTAACAGAACACCAACCTTTGTCAAATACTTAAGATAAGCCTTCAACACCTGTAAAAATATAAAATAAACTTTTAACTTAATGTTTCATTGTATAGAACATATATTGTGTGCATTTTCGAAAATACTATTTTGTTTGCTTTGGTTAATGGTCAAGGTTGGTTCAATACATTCAAATGATTTCAAGGCAGTTAGTTTCATACTTTCATAAGAATAAAAGGAGATGACAGATAAGGATGAAAGTCACCAAAAATAAGACCAACTTTCAAATAATAAAGGGACTGAACTCTTTGAACAGCAAAAGTGAAATGTATCACAGTCAAATTTAAAGTGCATTTTATGGTCCCTTTCAATTTTAAATTTTAATAATTTGGTAGAAGCTAATTAATTAACTTGATGAAAAATGATTGAAAGCTTTCATTTAATCTATTTACTATTTAGAAAATATAATGTACATTAATCTCTGTCAGGCAATTTTTATCTTGTTCTAGTGATCATTCACAGTTAAAGGCCTGTGTAGTAAAATAAACCAGTGGCTGATTTGACATTCAGATTCTATCATATCAAAAATCCAATAACACTATATTTGTTTGACCCTACATATACTGTAATAAAACAAATCTGATTTATAAATCATCAAGTTTGCTGACAAAACACAAATTGTGTTCTTCAAAATCCAAGCTAAGGAGTGAGATGTGGTCAACACAAATTTTTTTTTTTTATCAAAATGGTGTTTGTGTGAAAATAACTGTTTGAATCATTCAGCCACTGATGGCCAAAAAATACCTTATATATAAAGTACATGTATCATTACAATAATTGTGAAAATAAATCCTGCTACATCACCTTATCTTCTGTGATAGACTTGTTCAAGTAGTAGTTTCTCTCTGGTAAACCCAGCCCTGATTGGTCAATCTGAAATAAATAAACTTATCAATATGTCAATCTAAAAAAATATACTCTTTAAATGGGTTCAGGGTCAATATTTGAAATTCATCTTATGTATGATGTTTCTATTTGCATTGATTTTCAATCAACGATTTTAAAAATTAAGCTAACTTTTTTTTTGGTGTTCTGTTTATGAAAATGATATAAGCAGATTTTTAAAAATTGTTTTTGACTTGACACATGCCTGTGAAGATTCCATTTCAGGTTTATACACCTTAGTCTTGTCCAAACAAAATTGACAACAAGTGTAACTACACATTTATTATGTAACATCACAGAGCTATAAATGCTGCTGTCCATTTTAATGTTAATTTATTCCAGCACCAGGACCTTAGGCCAAAATTGGTCACAAATTGGTTCAAATTTATTTTTGAAAGATGCTTTCCTGCTCTAACATCGTTTTTTGTCGTAAACCTGTCACTTGTGTTGTTGGCCAAAAACAATAATAAAATCTCATCCAGCCTACCCAACCCTACAAGGCATGGGTAAGCAACATCAAACAAAGAATTTTTAAGGGTGGCCTTACCTGTAATATATTAGCAGATGAGTTTCTATCATCTTCACCAACCCAGACAGAAAAGAAAGCATTAATTCCTAACATCTTTAGGTTTTCTATATATGTTTGCAGATCAAATTTACTAGTACTTTGATTTGAAATGGACCAATCAGAGAAGTTTAACTTCAGTAGGTCCAGTAAAGGCTTTGCACCAAGTTCTTCTATTGTTTTATTCTTATCCATACAAGAAGCGAAATATAGCTGAGCTTTTCTCTCTGAAAGACTTGAATCTTTGGGTAAATCCTTATCTGTAAATATGCAAAAATGGAAATTAAAAAATATGAACAAAACAATAATGTACACGAGAGCTCGAGAGATGTTTCTATTTGTCAAATTGTGTATGCTTTCAATGCAGAATGTTTGATGCAGTGTAGATCTACAAGCAGTAAAATGTATGTAGTGTGTTATAACATTAATGGTGCCAATTTTACTGCACAAGATCAGTATTTCACCAATCTCTTTATTGATGCTCGAAGCCAAAATTTATTCAAAAATTGAAGAGCCGATAAAACCTGAAAGGATTAAAAGTAGAGCCAAGCAGGGTAAGGAATCTGAGCTTTTGTAAAACTCTTTATTGAACTTTATACATATTCTTAGTACTTATTGATCATTTTGCTATTACTATACATTGTAAAATTGAGAATGGAAATGGGGAATGTGTCAAAGAGACAACAACCCGACCATAGAACAGACAACAGCAGAAGGTCACCAACAGGTCTTCAATGTAGCGAGAAATTCCCGCCTCCGGAGGCGTCCTTCAGCTGGCCCCTAAACAAATATATATACTAGTTCAGTGATAATGAACGACATACTAAACTCCAAATTGTACACAAGAAACTAAAATTAAAAATAATACAAAACTAACAAGGCTAGAGGCTTCTGACTTGGGACAGGCGCAAAAATGCGGCGGGGTTAAACATGTTTATGAGATCTCAACCCTCCCCCTATACCTCTAGCCAATGTAGAAAAGTAAACGCATAACAATACGCACATTAAAATTCAGTTCAAGAGAAGTCCGAGTCTGATGTCAGAAGATGTAACCAAAGAAAATAAACAAAATGACAATAATACATAAATAACAACAGACTACTAGCAGTTAACTGACATGCCAGCTCCAGACTTCAATTAAACTGATTGAAAGATTATGTCTTCATCATATGAATATCAGGCACAATCCTTCCTGTTAGGGGTTAAGTATCATACCATCATAACATATATGAGAAGAACATAACCCGTGTCATGCCAACAACTGGTTTTTAAATAAATGTGTTTAGTGCCGATGCAAAGACCCTATAAGTGAATCAATATTAACGCCAAAATATGCAATCTTTAATAACCTGACAACAGTATCGTAACTATATCCCTTCTTAATAAGTCTATTTAAAGGTTTTGTTAGCTTCAGAGGTGAATACTGACATTTTTGTGCTTTATAAAGAATATTTCCATAAAAAATTGGATGTGAAATACCTGAACGTATAAGAAGTCTGCATGTTGAGCTATATTTACGAATGATGTCCTTATACCGATGATAAAATTTAGTAAATGTTTTGACTAGTTTGTGATATTGAAAACCCTGGTGTAATAATTTTTCAGTAATACATAAATTTCTCTCGTTAAAATCTAAAACATTGTTACATACACGAGCGAATCGTACATGTTGAGATATATAAACACCGTAAGATGGTGACAAGGGAACGTCACCATCTAAAAATGGATAATTAACGATAGGAAATGAAAAATCATCTCTTTTATCATATATTTTAGTATTAAGCTTTCCATTAATGATATAGATATCAAGATCGAGGAAAGGGTAGTGGTCATTGTTAGTATTAGCTTTATTTAAAGTAAGTTCAACAGGATAAATTTCTTTAGTATACATACTGAAGTCGTCATTATTGAGAGCCAAAATATCATCCAAATATCTAAAAGTATTATTAAATTTGTGTATCAGATGTTGTTTCGATGGGTCTTTGCTGATTTTTGTCATAAATTGTAACTCATAGCAATACAAAAAAAGGTCCGCAATAAGTGGTGCACAGTTAGTCCCCATTGGAATTCCGATAACCTAACGATATACGGAATCTCCAAAGCGAACAAAAATATTATCTAGTAAAAATTCAAGGGCATATATAGTATCAAAGCATGTCCAATTGACATAGTTTTTTTGTTTATTGCTACTAAAAAATGACCTAAAAGAGTTTGAACATATATATTCACATTCTGACTTTTTAAATGCCCATTTAGTTAGGTGTGTGAATTTTTTCTTAATGAGAATGTGAGGCAATGTGGTATACAGGGTAGAAAAATCAAAACTTTGAACAGATTCAAAATCACCAATATATGCATGTAATTTATCAAGTACTTCCAACGAGTTCTTGACACTCCAAAAGTAATTAATTCCACTATTTTCGAAGGCCTTATTTGAACAATTTATTATCAGGTTTTTGATTGTACCAAGTGTACTGGTAAGAAGAATAGACAATTTAGTAGTGGAACAATGGCTTGAAGACGAAATAAATCTATATTTGTAAGGTGTTTTGTGTAGCTTCGGAAGCCAATACATAGTTGGGACTTTCATTGTATTTGGTTCTGCTTGTAAAGCGGTAGCTAAAAGTTTATGTTTGTTACAGATGTCGTTTTCTGAAAATGGAGTCAGTTGGAAAGTTGGTGAATTGGTGATTTCTTTTTTCAGAACCTCAATGTAAAATTTACGTCAAACAATAATAATATTATTAGCAGCTTTATCGGCCGGGACAAAAACAAATTCCTTGGCTAGTTCTTTTAGTTTATGTTTTATACGAGAAATAGGTTTATTGTGGTTATTGTTAAGAGTAAAATGTTCTTTAAAATGTTGAATACGTATATCAACTATGTTCATTACTGAATTAAAAAAAGAGTCCAAAGATTTTTTGTCAGCTTTTTCCCCGTTTTATCCATTTCAAACAGTAAGTATGGAGTGAGTCGTGGATGATATTACGACACTCATTCCAATTAATAATTGACGGGGGACGATATTTAGGTCCTTTACTGAGGAATGATTTTAACTCTTGGTCTTGAACGATGTTAAGATCTCCTGTTATAACATGGGAAATGGGTCCATAAATGTATTCGGAATTACTGCAATTACATGAAGTAGGTGTATTTTCACTGATATTAACATCTTTACACAATTGGCTATAATTAAACACAAATTTCCGGGTAGATTTCTTGTAAATATAACAAATAAGAGGGAGCTCAGTATTATCAAAATATCCCGGAATTTGTTCTTTAACAGAATGGTCATTAAAAATACCGGCAATATTTACAAAATCAAAACCTTTATTAACATACTTTATTGTAGGTCATAAGTGTAGATAATTTTTCAATGTTTATTGACTATTTTTGCTTTCTTAGTGTAAGATGCATAGATCACATAAAATGTTAATTTCAGGAACATTTATGAGGGTCAAGGCTACATCTTCAGATTTTCATGCTGATAAGGCTTTCCAATTTATACAAATTGCTGTTATTGCTTTGTTGAGAGACTACATTAGGACCTTGGATTTTATCTAGACTTAATGTAACATACAAGGATATGACTATTTTTACAGTAAGCGTAAAATGTGATGGGATTCATAGTGATATATTGATTACTTTGATGAAACAATTAACAACATTCACATACCTTATTGGTGAATTAAAACAAAATATTCATTAGTTTATTATAGCAAGTATAGCAAAAACACCCTCTGTAGCAGGGTTTGTATTGTAAATTTTGAATATAAATTCTATTCCATCTCTGCCATGTTATATCTGCTATTTGTCAGATTTTTAGGCTTTTTAAAAAAGTATCTAATTAAAGTTATTAAAACATGTGTTGTACACTTATATGATTGATTGATTATTGGTTGCTTAACGTCCAATTGTGTACATTTATATACATTGTTCACTACTGTATGTTTTTTTTTAATAATAAGCCAAATGTCATTAAACAAGGTCAATATTTAACAATATTCTTCATACCTATTGCTTTTTTCATCACAACTTGATTCTCTTGCCAGAGAACACTAAATGTTCCCCACCTAGAATGTCCTGATGGTATAGGGTGAGCGTCAATCCATCCACCACATGCATACTGATAAAAATCATTACAGGGGTCTGCTTTTAGATCCATTGCATTGATCATGGAGCTGGCTACTGTAACACAAGCTGGGGTCAAACACACAGCTGAAAATAAATCTTAATGAAATATACAACTAAAAAATATAATCACCATTCAATACATCTTTGACAGTCAAGAGTAAGGTTAACCTACTCTCTGTTACTATTTATTAAAATCAGTTGAAATAGGCGGGACTCAGCAGATGGACACATGAAGCACACACAAATAAACACAATCAATTAAGAAACAAAATCCATTAAAGTGGGCCCGCCAGTTTCATATATATAATTATTTCTTAAATATCTTGAAAACTGTTCAGATCCCCACCTCAACCATTTATATTCTTAATTGTCATTATAAGACATATAAAGTGCATTATGGGTTTTGCACTTCAGAATTCAGTGTCTATATGGTAAAATGTTAAATACATTTTTGTTTATTTTTTCAAATACCTTTTCAGTATTAGAATGTGTTTGTTGGGCCTAATATATAGTAACATTGAATAAAATAATAAAAAGGTGCATGTAGACTCAGCTTGACCGTACAGTGTGTTCCAGACATGAGGGCCAGGCCATATATGATTTGTCAGATGGACATATCATCCTTACTACATAATATTGTTGACCCATCATGCACAACATTACTGAAGAACAGATATATCCCTGAAAACATAACACAACCACAGCATTAAAATGAAACTAAGGTTTTGTATTTCCACATATGAGTTCTGAAGCTTCTTCCAATACAAATTTCTATAAATATTTTGAGAAGGCAGTGTAAAACAGATATAGATATTAATTGAAAAATTCAAAACTTTCAATTTAGTAAATCCTGCCAGCCAAAAAAATGAACTCCCACAACTTTTTACCCAGGAGATAAAAGGGTTTAACAGGTGCCAGACTAAGGACTATTAAGATTTTATTGTTTTCGTATTATAACTCCGGAATATATTTTACCATATAAATAAACGGACGTTTTTTCCTCAGATGAGTAAATCTAAGGAACAAATTTAATGATTACATCTAGAATTTTTTCTTGCTTGATTACCCGTCTTCAAGCATTTGTTATTAAAATGTCAACACAAACAATAATCAATCTGGTATCATGTAAAGTCTGTTTATTACATTCGGTGATATAATTCCAATCTCCGTGATTGATTTTACCATCATTATGGTGACTGATCCAATACAGAATCCAAATGTCATATCCATGTGCGACACACAAATTAGCTTTCCATCAACAGCTTAGAAATGTTACTATTAAATGATTCAAATCGGAATATGGTATTAACTTGTTTTGGCATTAGGAGTTGAGGAAACTTATAATAGCACATTATTGAAATTGTAACCGTTAATGTTTTTGAAACAAAATCAAAAATGGCATAAATTATATAAAACAGACATACATATAATTTCTTTAAATCAAAACTCAATGTAATATTCGACACTTATATTGGATTATAAGACTTAGTTAAAAGCATAAACAGTAACTCAGAAAAATGTTCCTTCAAGTTGAATTATGCTTTCACAATAAATCTGTTTTTGTGATAAAATTTATATACAGGTCATGTTTTGTCAAATTTATGACATTCTACGTTCCTGCTTTAAAAGTTGCTTAGTAATAAAAAAATTACGTTCATTGACATGAGACTTCACTCCAAACATATCTTTTTCAAAACCAATTAAGAAATGTATACTCCATAAGAAGCCACGGAACATTATCATCAGGGATTAGAAGTTGTCATTAATTCCCAGTAATGTAAATTTTTAATAGCATACTAGAATGCCCAGAACACCCCAGAAGTTATAAAGAAGAATTTGTCAAAGCAGCAATGATCAAGGTCAAAGTCCCATTAGGTTTGAAAAAATATAATTGCAGTGCGTTTGTAATTACAAGAAACATAAATAATAATCCCTTAAGGCTGATATTTCAGCAGAAGTAGCAATAGTTGTTATATAGACTAATAGATATACACAATATATTACATGTATTACTCAATACTAAAAATAAAACTCCATTAAATCTTACTTTGTTTGAGAGCAAATAGTTTTATCTGTAAGTATTTATGGAAGTAGTTCAGCATTTGTCTGAGAAAATCATGTAAATTGTTTGAAATTATGAGGTAAAGAAAGGAATCTTTATACATAAATCAAACTTTATAATTCCAGCTAAACGTTTTATGGAAATTTGAATTTATTTGCACATGTACTGTATGAACACACTGATCATAAAAGGTAAAACTAAATAAAACAATGTAAAAAATGCACAAGTGCAACATGAGCTAATAGAACAAAGTTTGCATTGTATCAGTCATCAACGCATCCACAGTAGATTTTTACTATTTTTGGACAAACACAGCAAATTTAAGGCATTTATTACATGACTTTATATAACATATAGACGGGTTTATCTATAATTGACCTAGAAAATATGGGCGCATCCATTAACCTCTCATGTGACCGATCCGCCATTACAACCGTGAAAAATAACGCACGTGTAATTATCAAAACATTATCGATTTACTGTTTACATTTGTATTTCCTTCATTTTCTTATTTATTTCACTATGGATACTGCCAGAAGTTATTTACAAGAGGCTCTCAAGAGCCTGAATCGCTCACCTGTATTTCAGAGGAGAAGATTTTTAAATGTTAGCAAACTTGATAAACAAATTGTGTAAAATTGACTTTAAAGGGCATTATAACTCCTTAAGGGGTGAATTGGAAATTATGGTCATATTAACTTTTTTGTAGATCTTACTTTGCTGAACATTATTGCTGCTTACAGTTTATATATATCTATAATAATATTCAGGCCCCGGTGAGCTAAAAAGGTGGAGGCATTTCTTGTGCAGTTAATAGTTGTACAAATAATCGTAGAAAATTTCAGATGTTGAAAAAATCAATTAATAAAATATGTGAATTATATGCAAGTTAAGCCGACTGCACACAATCCATTTTTTTTTTTTTTTTAATAAAACTTATGAAAGTAAAATTACACTGGCAGACGAATGTTGACACGCCATCAATGATCAAACGACTGTAAAAACCTAAAATTATCTATGAAAATTAATCCTATGACTACAGTTCATCTGCCTCTGTCTGTATAGAATATCTACACATCAGATGCGGATCCAGGATTTTGAAAAGGGGGTTCCCCAAACAAGACACAATTTGTAGTGGAAGCGGAAAAAAGTCTGGATTAACCATGAATGAAGCTTCATAAGGGGGCCCGGGCACCTCCCTAAATCTGTTCCTATACATTTCTTTAGATAATAACAATGAAACCTACCCCGAGGCTACATGCATGTAGTAAGAATTGGATGCAAATCAACCAAGTATGAAGAGACAAACTTTTTTTATACATGACGACTATCTTTATGCTGCAAAATGGACAGACATTCTGACAACATTAACTCAGACAAACATATTGTTAACAGAGGAGTAAGGAGTTCAAAATTGAATAAAAGGGGGAAACGACGTCAGCGTATAGACATATTATGAATGACAGCTATGCCTTATTGTATACTTATATGTAACTAAGTTTTCTTTAATTTAGTGGAATAACAACATCATTAAATTTTTAACTGTGATATTGCAGATCAGCTGTTGCTCGATCGTACTGATGAGGTTAACACTTTTAGTTCAATATTTGGTTATTTGGAATGGCGCTTTCATATTTCGAAAAGTAAGGCTTGTAAACTATTTTATTCCTGGGTGCCAGTTCTTGCTGAAAAACAAAGGTTTTACAAACAGCTGCATCCACAGACAAATTCCAGCAAAACTTTCTATTAAGGGCACTTCTCTATAAACCTCGTCTTAATGGTCCATATATGAAGGCAAGTGTGCTTAAATTTAAGTATATACATGTATTCACATTGCTGTCTTTATACAACGTATACAGTATTTTATGTTGAACCTTGATTTGATCTTTCCTCAGTCGATTATTCTGTGCATGAATTATAAAATTTTACACATTAGAAAGGATTTTTCAGAGGTCTTGGTAATCAAATAGTTTACCAGAACCTAGGGAAGCGTAGCCATAATCCGACAATCCGAAATTCCAACAGTTCAGTAGTCCGATGGTCCAATATACATCCCTAATTTAATACTGTAATACTGTATTATATACACCGAGGACTGATTCAGGATGAAAATATACGAGACCTCTGTTTGAGGATGGTGGGGAGGGGGAGTTGGCAAAACACTAAATGACGCTTTTAAAACATATAACTAATAATTGCTTTTAATTTACAAGCTTGCGTCTTTAGTGGTTTAATGACATTCATTTATTTTTAGCACGGGCCGGAGCATGATTTTATATACTATGCATACTAGTAGTTTTATGTCAAGTAATTTTTCTGCAAAAGAAATTGGAATCGAACACCTAATAACTAAATTCATGCGGAGACAAAAGTGATACGAAAATGTCACTCAATTTTGAGCAGTATAAATGAGTCGAACCACAAGCAAAAAAATCGTTTCTGTGAAAAAGTTTATCATCAAACGGTACATGTCTATAGGTATATTTTTTTCATAAGATGTAAGTAACCGTGCGCTGGAGAAAACAGGCTGTCGAATTATAGGACCGTCTGATTAGAGGATTGTTGAATTTATATCATCAGGGTTTGACACTAGCTAAATTCCTTTACTAGCTCAGAGGGCTATTTAAATTTTTTTTTTTTAAAGTCTTCCAACTCTGCTAGCCTGTCGCGTTCCAAAGGCACGACCAATGCTACAGGTGTCTGATGGCATTCCCCCCAAAATTTTAAAATAAATGAAGCTATTACTTTCAATATTATGCATTTTGAAATATTTTATAAGAACTAAACAGGATTTTTCTCAAAATCGTAAAAATTAAAATCGCATTTAAGTCTAAAATGACAAAATCGCAATAATAAATGCACACAATAATTTCTGAATTTACAGTAGTTGCTGGCATCAATCTGTTGAAAATAACTATCTACTGCCTTATCTAATATGTTGCCAAGTACAACTTAATTTGCGACTATCAAATATAGCGAATTGATTGATCATTGTTTGAAATTGTGTCAGCGCAAATTACCATATGCTGCAAGAACATGCAACTTCATTTCAACTCTGGTGGTTAGTTGTCTCATTGGTGATTCATACCACATCTTCTCATTTTCATATTTATAACATAAGATTGATGTATTAGGATATATAGTTGTTACATTCTAAACAAGTAACAACTTTGTTGCTTCCCTGTAACTCCAATGGCATCCAGTGTAGTAGGTAAGTAAGTAAGTAAGTAAGTAAGTTAGTAAGTAAGTCAGTAAGTAAATTACCTTGTTCTTTCATCTTGATAATCTGTTTATGTTTAGAGGCCACTAGTATTGCTAGAATGACTACTGTGATACAAAGGAGAACATTGAAAACAAACAGGAACCTCTCTAGTACAGTTTTCCTCTGCCATAACGTTAGACCACCTTTAAACACTACACTGGCATTGAAGTCAATAGCTGGTGGACTGCCTCCATTTGATATATCATCTTCCTCAAAGTTGGTTCGTTTGTAGCCCTGGCTGGACATCTGAAATGTAAGTATACATATAGGGGTAAATTCAGTAAATAAATGTACGTCATCAGGGACCGCCCATTTGGGGGAGAGCTTTCTGTACAAAACTGAAGTACTGTGCTCTTCTGATTGGTAGATAATGTGTAATAAATATTTTTTGATAGATGGATCAAAACTAGAGTTAAAAAAAATTAAAAAATGAATGCTGAATGTACTAAATTTTTTTACTACAGGGTTGAAAAGCAATGGGGGTCAGTAAAGGAATTAAGTGCGAATCTACAGTGTTTGTAAACAAGGCCATGTGAATGCCCAAAAATGCCGCATGACCCTATGTTTTTATTGTTGCAAAAGATAGGGCTACATTTGTACTTTCAAGAATGATATATGAAAGCTTCCAATTTCTAAAGGTAAATCAGGTATAAATTTAATTCAAGACATAGATTAGCATTACAGTCAAAGGGAGATTTTTTACTGAATTTACCCCTATAGGAAAATATGCACTCTGTCACTGTACTTGTTCAAGGCCACACAATAATCACAAACTCATTTCCTGTAAATATTAATGCAATGGAAGCCTCTTGGAACCAGTTAAAGTTGTTTTTATACAAATTTCTATGTTTAACCGCGGCTATCCAGGATGCTCTGAGTGTACTGTGGGAGGAAGCATGGGGTATATGGTAAAAAATCAGTTTTGTGTCCAGATTGAAAGAAACAATAGAAATTACACTTGAGAGTTATGATATTATTAAAAGGCATAAATATTCTCCCCATTTTAAATCACATTTGAACATATTTCTCCTAATAATGTGTAAAATCATATGGAAAATCAGAATTACCTCCCTTTGACATAGTGTATTTTTTTAGCTGTGTTCCCCATGTTAAGTTGTAGATCATGTTGTAAATAAGCACTTTTCAAGTATTTTAACACTCGAATAATCTGACCGTATGAAGATATTCATTTATTTTTACATTATTCATTGCGTTTCTTTAAGTAAAAAAAATACTAGACAACTTTTCATTATTATATACCCTTCATCTATAAAACTAGTGTTGAAATGTTTGTAATTGGATTGCTATGTTAAATAATTGCTTTTTAATATTCTAAATTGTTACTTTTATGTTCCAAATGCAAAGTTTGGTCATACCCAGTCTTATTTTTTTCATATTTGGCACTTTTTTCGACTTCAGTTTTGTCCGTCTAGTTTTGGCGAAGAAACCATCCTGATGTTGGGGTAACAGGAATTTCTGCAGAGTGGTTGTCAATGACATTTTGTGAAATTTACAAGTAATTAAAACACAGATTTAGTAAAATGAAACATAATTGTTGTTTTTTATGGCATGAAACTGCTTAAAAAACCTTTGAAAAGTCTTTTTGTGGTCTTTTCAGGGTATTTAATTAAAATCTTCCATATAAGGCAAAATTTAACTAAGAGTACATCAAGACTTTAGTTCCTAGATGTACTTGCAATACTGATCAAAGGAAACACAGAAAACAATTCATATTTATTAAGCATAGTATTTTACATCATTCTTTTAAAAACAGTCAATGTGCAACTTTATATACCAAATATACATTGGCCGCAGACTATGGGCTTTAGTATAAATTTTCCTCCCTCTTTACAAGTTCAGCCTTTATGAATGTTGTATTGAAACTGGAACTTGAAAATTGGATACATTACATGATTAATACAACAAAAATAGGAAAAGAAGTTAAAAAGTCCCTTATAGGGGTAAATTCAGTAAATAAATATACGTCATCAGGGACCGCCCATTTGGGGGAGAGCTTTCTGTACAAAACTGAAGTACTGTGCTCTTCTGATTGGTAGATAATGTTTGTAATAAATATTTTTTGATAGATGGATCAAAACTAGAGTTAAAAAAAATTAAAAAATGAATGCTGAATGTACGAATTTTTTTTACTACAGGGTTGAAAAGCAATGGGGGTCAGTAAAAGAATTAAGTGCGAATCTACAGTGTTTGTAAACAAGGCCATGTGAATGCCCAAAAATGCCGCATGACCCTATGTTTTTATTGTTGCAAAAGATAGGGCTACATTTGTACTTTCAAGAATGATATATGAAAGCTTCCAATTTCTAAAGGTAAATCAGGTATAAATTTAATTCAAGACATAGATTAGCATTAAAGTCAATGGGAGATTTTTTACTGAATTTACCCCTATACAATATTAGATCAATTTCAGAAATAGATCAACTTTTTTGTATGAGACTTTGGCATGATTTACCAAGCCCTTCTACAGTTTTATGTTGAATACAAAACAGTTGATATTTTTCTGACATTGATCTAATAGACTGTATTATACTGCAGCTAAAAATGGCTACAATTATTGTAACTAAAATGTAAACACAATAAATTGCTTCGCCGAGCACAGCTGGTTACAACCGCAGAGGACCAACCCTGAACAGTTGGGGCAAAAATGGACACAATATTGGCGCTTGATACAGGTCTGAATTTGGATTGTAATTAAATATTTGATACATAATAGGTTTCTGACACAGAATAACTGTAGTCAAAGAACTTAGAATTGTTTATATGATTTGAATTTATATTCAATTTTTTGCTTTTGTGCAATACACTATATGCTGTTGTGAATTGACCCCCCTAAAAAACAAAAACACAAAAAAAAAATTAACCCCCCCCCCCCCCCCCCTCCCCTTAAAAAAAAATATATATTTGAAGAAATTCTTTTTAATTTCTGAAATCTGAAAAAATTGCATTCCCCCCTCACAATTTCTTTTTTACCCCTCCCCCCCCCCCCCCCCTTTTCCAAAAAAAAAAAAATTCTTTCCCTCAAGATATGGTCATAATCTCAATTCAAATTTCCAATGTAGTTTGCAACCATAATTACCCATTTAAATACATCATAAAAGTCTTAAAATAGAAAATGACATACATAATCATGGCTAAAATTAATATATTAAATATTCCTTAATCAGCATTATCAAATAGTAACTTCTAAAAATAAATTGACAGCTAATCACCTCAAGACAATACATTTCTTTATACATAATTTAAAAGCAGTGTAAGGGAGGTAATCCAAACTTAACATTGTACTTTTTTTTAATTGTCCATTAACCAGGAAACCCTTATTTTTCCCCCTTTTTTGCCCCTAATTCCTAAATGGTTTGAGTCATAACCCCCCAAAGCCAATCCTTACCATCCCTTTGTGGTATGGAAACTTGTGGTATAATTTCAGAGAGATCCATACACCGTTCCACAAGTTATTGTCTGGAAACTAGAAAAATGCTTATTTGGGCCCCTTTTTGGCCCCTAATTCCTAAACTGTTAGGCCTATAATCCCCAAAATCAATCCCAACCTTATTTTGTGGTTATAAACCCTGTGTTTAAATTTCAGAGATTTCTATTTACATTTACTAAAGTTATTGTCCGGAAACTAAATGTCTTCGGACGACGCTGATGACGACGTGATATCAATATATGACTGCAAAATTTTTTGCGGTCCTATAAAAATAAAACTTATTCTCCATCCTTAATCCAGATTGTGCATACATCATGTAACATGAAAATGACATTGCACGAAATATTTATATTAGGTTATAAAAAAACAAGAATGTTTTACACGGATGCCCCACACGCACTATCATTTTCTATGTTCAGTGGACCATAAAATTGGGGTCAAAACTCTAATTTGGCATTAAAATTAGAAGATCATATCATAGGGAACATGTGTACTAAGTTACAAGTTGATTTGACTTCAACCATCAAAAACTACCTTGACCAAAAACTTTAACCTGAAGCAGGACAGACGGATGAACGAACGAATGGAGGAACGAACGGAAGAACAAACGGATGCATAGACTGAAAAACATAATTCCCCTAAGTGGGGCATAAAAAAGACATAAAAAAGAATGCTAGCTGCAGTATAAAAACATATGAATAAAAAAGGATATTAGGAATATCTGAAAATGACACCAACCGAACAAAAACAACAAGTTGAAAAAGATATTTAGAAGTCAACAAATTATACAAAAGTTTGCACTATATGTCAAACTCTAAATTATACTGTGACTGAATGACAAGTTGTGATCAAACACAACAGAGTCTGCCATCAATTATACATTTCTGAATTGATAAAAACATTAATTAATACAAAGACATTTGAACAATAGACACCAAGCGCATTATATGAGGCATGATTATAATAAAATGCTCCGCTGGGCGCAGCTTGATACGACCGCAGAGGTCGAACCCTGAACAGTTGGGGCAAGTATGGACACAACATTCAAGCTTGATACAGCACTGAATTTGGATTGTGATTAAATATTTGAGACAGCATAGGTTTCTGACACAGAATGAATGTGGTCTTAGAACTTAAAAAATTTCAATTTACCGGAGTAATTCAAACCATATCATTATTATTTGCTTTTATATATAAATCAGAAATAACCAATTTAAAATGGAAAATTTTAAAGAATAAAAAAGGAAAAAAAGGACAAAAAAATCCCTCCTCAAAATTTTTTGAACCCCCTTATGATTCATCACTCCCAAACTCAATCCCAGCCTTCCCTTTGTGGTATGGTACCTTGCAGTACAATTTCAGAGAGATCCATACACTTGAACACAAGTTATTGTCTGGAAATTAGAAAAATGCTTGTTTTTAGGCCCTTTTTGGTCCCAAATTCCTAAACATTTAGGGCAATTACCTCCAAACTCAAACCCAGCTTTCCCTTTGTGATATGGAACCTTGTAGTACAATTTCAGAGAGATCCATACACTTAAACACAAGTTATTGTCCTGAAACTAGAAAAATGCTTGTTTTTTGCCCCTTTTTAGCCCCAAATTCCTATTATTTTGAGGCAATTACCCCCAAAATCAATCCCAGCCTTCCCTTTGTGGTATGGTACATTGCAGTACAATTTCAAAGAGATCCATACACTTGAACACAAGTTATTGTCAGGAAACTAGAAAAATGCTTATTTTTGGCCCCTTATTCCTAAACGTTTTGGGCAATTACCCCCTCACTCAATTCCAGCTTT